GAGGGGAGGGCCGGAGGGGGAGGGCGCAGGGCCCGGCCGGGCCGCGGCTCCTGCAGAGCGGAGTGCTCGTTCCCCTCCCCATTTACTCTCGAGACTCGATCGGTTACGAACCCCTTCACTTCCAGACGACGTCACCACCGCTTCTCATGCGTAATACCGTTGTGCTTACTGAGGTCTGGCAGTAATTTGAAAGGTGAAGTCTAAAAGTGATACTTGGTACCACTTCCATTTACATTTTCAAAAAAGAAATCCGTTTCGATTGGTTTTAAACCACGCAAAACCAAATACACGATTTGGCTTCTGTAGACACGGCAAACGGCCCTGTACCATGTTGGATAAACAAGTTGTGATTCATGCCCTGCACATTTAAGCAAACAAGCCTTAATGGTATGCATTTCTATTTCTCCCTGGACCCAGCAGCTCGATTCAAACACTGGGCAGCATCCCAGATTATTTTATTTAAATAACCACCAGCTAACTCATAGCTCAACTCCCCAAATGCAGAACACACTTCCATATTTGTCTTGTAAATGTACACTTTACAAACCAAAAAATGCTACGAGAGTTAATTGTATCCCTCTCTCTAGTTTCAGTATTCTACATTTAATGCAACAAAATTAACACCCTGCAGTAGACAGGCAGCACTGTCGTGTGCTGCAGCAACACCAGCTAGCGCCGCGCAGGGTCAGCAAGGCTCCTTCCCAGCAGCTTCACACTGAGGTTCTCTGTTTGCTGTCACATCAATAGGAAAACCAATTAGACATATGGAAAACTTGGCTAATTTATTTTCTAGAGGAGTTCAGTTGCTGGAAACCACAGAATATCAGTTTCCAGTCTGTAGTGACTGCAGAAATATCAACTGCTCCCTTAAGTGCATTTAGTTGTAGAAACCCTGGATGTCTGGATAGATTAATGGAAAATTAGTGCTGAGAATTCATATTAATCAGTGGGACCAACAATACGCATGACATTAGTACTGTATAGAGAATATGCTGTCTCTGAGATCTAGGGACGTGTATTTCGGAGTAGTACGCGTTCGGTAAGATACCTCTTCTTGGAATTTGTAATGTCATTAAGACTTTCCTAGGACTGTCACTGATCTGATTTCTTCATATGGTCTAGAAGGAAACAAAGATCCTGCGTGCACAGGGCACGCCTGACCTAGAGAGTGTCAACCAGCTCCCCGTGGCATAACTGCTTAGCTCCTTGTCCACAGATCCTTTATGCGCAACAGCACACAGCTCGATTTACTGCTTCGCCAACTTGCCATAATCCGTAAAGCGGCACAGCGTAGACTTTTGTATTCAGCACACTGATACAATCTTATTACTCCTCTTAATTGCCTTACAAAACAAGCTGGCTTCTCAAGAAACACCCTGTCAATCCATTTGTAACAATCTGTATCTACTCCAGAGGAAGGAAATTTTAGTATTAATGGCAGTGGAAAAAAGAAAGATCTGCAAATTTGATGCAAATTTTTCAGAAAGTAATTTCCAATAACACTTTTTTTTCCCCATAAATATATACTTTTGTACTGGGCAGTGGTAAAGGTGAGTGAGAGTGGGACTGACGCAGCGTCCCAGAACCAAACAACTATTGATCATGTTTGGCTGTCAGCTCTTCCACAGCACAGATTCGCTCTGAGCTGAAATTTGCACATTTCAGTGTCGTAGAACTAATGGGACTTCAATATTACTTTGCAATAAAGAGTTTCTATTGGCTTAATTTACTCCCAGTTGGTTCTAATTAGTGTGTGTGTATAATTACTAAAAATTACACTAATAGTACACACCTCCTCTCAGACATGGGTTTTGTGAGAGAAAAACTTTGTAGAAACTTTTTCTTCCCACCCCCCTTTTAAAGTCAATTGACTTCAGCGTATCTCCTCAGGTTACCTTCCTATACCTGTGACAGAAAATAAACCAGAACAGCTGTAGTAGAATAAACCATGCTGGGATAATCACTTTAAAATTACCAGCTGTGTGGATATTATTCTGGAATAACAATAAGGGTTTTTTCCAATTAAAAAGCGAACGGCTGTACAAAGTGCTATTCTAGAACAGAACTGAGATAATTTAAGTACCTTCTCTGTATTGACAAGGCTTTAGAAAGGGAAGACTCAGCACAAACTGGGTCCCTGGGAAATGCTGGTGACATATTATCGATTTAAGATGACTGGAAATCTGTCCTGAAAAGATGCTGGTAAATTAAATACTGTAATGGTCAATGTTTGTATAAAAACAGGGATTACAATTCAATTAGTCAATCTCCCTTGCAATACAATTTTCCAGTACATTGAGTCAGTCCAGATAGAGTGGACCTGCATGACCTCCTACCAGGAGGTATACTGAAAACTGCTTTGGTGTTATGCTGTGAACCGAATGAAACCATGTGAGGACCTTATGCTTTCTCCCCCTCAAGATCTTATGACATTCCTAGCACTTTCAACACTGTCAGGCTCTCCCTCCTGTGAAAGTTTTTCTATGTACCTATTCTGCAACACACGGCCCAAAAAGAACCTATGATTTTGCCTTTTGGCGTCGCTGAAGATTAAACACAACAGTTCCTTTAAAGGTGTTTCGCCCTTCTTTTAAAACTACTTCAGTAAATGCACATACCACAGAGTCATTCATGAAGAAGATGGATTGTTTTTTTTAAACAAGCATGGCAGCTGGCTTAAGGAAACAGCAGAATTCAGAGCAAGCCTACTGTAAGGAGATTGCTCAGCTCCTGCTTCCTCCTCCCTTATTTGGAGCTTTAAAAATGTGACTGGAAAGCGTCATGTTACTTGGAATAAAAATATATAGGGCAAGGTGAGACAGGGGAGCTGAGAACGCCAGCCGCTGAGAGCAGCCCCAGAAGGCAGCTAACAGTGCCTAAGATGCCCGGATTAATCATGCTTCCTGGTGACTGAGCACCCCAAGCGGCAGTGAAAACTAATCATGAAAAAATTCTGAAGTTGTTTTGTTTCCTTTTCCCCTCCGTGCTGAAGGCAGTACAGTGATACAAGCAGAAAAATCTAGGAGACTCATATAAAGTCATAAGTTTTAGACTTCCTGTTTGGAAAGTCCCCTCATTAACAGCATCGTTAGCGCGCGGCTGGCCAAGACGGTGTGCTGCAGGTGCAGGGACAGGCACGGGGAGCAGCTGAGGCACGGCCACTTGGGCCAACCCCTCCGCACGGAGTGGGCAGATGGTCCCCCGCCTCAGGCACGCACAGGAGTGGAGACCTGCAGTCTCCGATGACAGATACAAGACAGTTAGTTCATTAGTAAATAAGCTCTCTAATTAACACCTTACAGGGAATAAAAATTAGAGGGGAGAAAAAAAAGAGCATCCTTTGTGTCTGACCACATTTGCAGAGTTACAGCACCCAAAGGTGCGTGTCTGCCCCATGGCCCCCGCTCTGTCGGACCCCCGCAAGGCTGGGACCAGCTCGCCCAGCACCCTGCAGAGCACACATCCTGCCGACTGGTGCATCCCGAGGCCTCAGGTGACACCGGAGGTACGTGGAGTGCCCTCTCCGATCTGAGACGAGAAGCAAGGGCCTGACTGCTTCCTCTTTGTATTCCCAGAA